TCTTTCAATCAGAAGGTGAGGTTTCCTGAATTTAAAGGGGGCTGATACTATTTTTACTATTAAAATTCTTTCTTGTATCTTCATATTTGTTCCCATTCAATAGTTGTTATGTTCTCAAGTATATTTTTCCTCCCAAAACATACTGTCTTTAATACCTTGAGATACATATTAAATGCATACCAATAAAAGAAATGACACAGTTCTCAATAGGGCAGCATTTGTTTATCATGATGAGCTATAGCTATAGATTAGATCATAAAGGGGACAAATTATTTTCTGCTTAAAGTTTGCACTCCCAGCGAATCAGCTGTTCTATCTTATTGTCAAAATCCCCATACAGTGTGTGGGTAAGCTAGTGCCAGCTGAGTGGGCTGGCATCTGTCTTGGTCATGGAGGGATCTCTTATTTGGTAAGTTTCCTGAGGTCCCTGGACTGTATTCTTCCTAACTTTGATTTACATGTAATTTTGGAGGAACACATCTATTTTATAACTTGAGTACTGCTTTAGAGGATTGGATCCACTTCACTTGACTTTTCATATGTGGTTTATAATTTCTTATTTGTTTTGAATTAAATTATACTAATCACAATCCAGGTAAATTTGGAAAGACACCATCTCTATGCATCTTTTTTAGTTTGATGCATATTTGTAAACAAAAAAACAGTACAATATAAGATCATGAGTTTAAAAACTATACAATCACTATAAATACAACAAATTATCATTACTCTGTTGGAATATACTAAAATAAAAATGGTAGATTTGATAATAAACTGGCATAGTAGAAATTCTATGATTGTTGAAGAGGTAACTTAGGTACCTTATTTTAAAAACTTTCTTATTTAAGAAACATGAAAGGGTTTTTTTACTTCAGAAGCAAAAGTTCATTTTAAAAAAGGTTTAATAATCAACGTCATGCATTTGGTGGGGGACTGAGTTAAATTCACCAAGGATAAGTAAAGAGAATTAGGAATCTGGCAGTATATTTTGACAGCTGTATGAAATAGGATGGCAACTTGAAAATTGATGTATATGCAGCATTTTTAACAAATAAGAAAAAAACCTATCTTTAAAAAAGAAGAGAGGTTTCTGAATTTAAAAGGATATTTATTTTTCACTTAAAATTTTTTTTGTTCTTCATACTTGTTCCCATTTCAAATAATTGATATTTATCTTCAATTATGTTTTCTCTTCCCAAAACACAGTCTTTTTTAATATTACATACTAAGATATGCATTCCAAAGGCATACCAATAAAAGAAATGACACATTTCTCAATAGGGCATTATTTGTTTATCTTGATCAGTCATAGCTATAGATTAGATCCTTAAGAGGACAAATTATTTGCTACTTAAAGTTTGCATTTCCAAAGAATCAGCTGTACTATCTCATTGGCAAAGTCCTGATACAGTGTGTGGGAAAGCTAGTGTCAGCTCATTGGGCTGGCATCTGTCCTGGTCATGGAGTAATCTCTTATTTGGTTACGTTTCCTAAGGACCCTGGACTGTGTTCTCCACAACTTGGATTTACATGTGATTTTGGGGGTACACGTCTATTATATAAATTAAATACTGCTTCAAAGGGTTGAATCAACTAAAGTTGACTTTTCATATGTGCTTTATAATTTCTTATTTGTTCGGAATAAAATAATATTAATCACAATGCAGGTAAATTTGGAAAGACACCATCTCTGTGCATCTTTTTTAGTTTAATGCATATTTGTAAACAATAAGAGCAGTATAAAATAAGATCAGGAGTTTAAAAACTAATCACTATAAATAAAACACATTATCATTACTCTATTGAAATATGCTATAATAAAAGTGGTAGATTTGATAATAAAGTGGCTTAGTGGAAATTCTATGACTCTTGAAGAGGTACCTTAGGTACCTTATTTTGGAAAATTTCTTATTTAAGAAATATGAAAGGATTTTCTTACTTCAGAAGCAAAAGTTCATTGTGAAAAAGGTTAATAATCAACGTCATACATTTCGTGGGGGACTGAGTTAAAATTCAGCAAGGATAAATAAAGAGAATTAGGAATCTGGTAGTATTTTTTAAGAGCTCTATGAAATAGGATGGCAACTTGAAGATTGCTGTAAATGCTGCACTTTCAACAAATAAGAGTAAAAACCTATCTTTCAATCAGAAGTGAGGTTTCTGAATTTAAAAGGCTGATTATTTTTCACTTAAAATTTTTTTTGTTCTTCATATTTGTTCCCATTTCAAATAGTTATTTATCCTCAAGTATATTTTTCCTTCTCAAAACATACTGTCTTCTTTTTTAATAGCACATACTAAGATACACTTTACAAATGCATACCAATAAAAGAAATGACACAGTTCTCAATAGGGCAGCATTTGTTTATCATGATGAGCTATAGCTATAGATTAGATCATAAGGGGACAAAGTTTTGCTACTTAAAGTTTGATTTCCCAACGAATCAGCTGTTCTATCTTATTGTCAAAATTCCTCATACAGTGTGTGGGTAAGCTAGTGCCAGCTGGGTGGGCCGGCATCTCTCCTGGTCATGCAGGGATCTCTTACTTGGTAAGTTTCCTCAGAACCCTTACATTTATTCTCCCCAACTTTAATTTACATGTAATTTAGGGGGAATACGTCTATTATATGAATTAAGTACTGTTTTAGAGGATTTAATCCACTTCAATTGACTTTTCACATGTGGTTTATAATTTCTTATTTCTTTTGATTTAAATGATACTAATCACAATGCAGGTGAATTTGGAAAGACACCATCTCTGTGCATCTTTTTTAGTTTGATGCATATTTGTAAACAATAAAAACAGTACAAAATAAGATCATGAGTTTAAAACCTAAACAATCACTATAAATAAAACAAATTATCATATCTGTTGAAATATACTACAATAAAAATGGTGGATTTGAAAATACACTGGCATAGAGGAAATTCTATGACTCTTGAAGAGGTAACTTAGGTACCTTATTTTAAAAAGTTTCTTATTTAAGAAATATGAAATGATTTTTTTACTTCAGATGCAAAAGTTCATTTTGAAAAAGGTTTAATAATCAACGTCATGCATTTGGTGGGGGACTGAGTTAAATTCACCAAGGATAAGTAAAGAGAATTTGCAATCTGGCAGTATTTTTTGAGAGCTGTATGAAATAGGATGGCAACTTGAAAATTGATGTATATGCAGCATTTTCAACAAATAAGAAAAAAACCTATCTTTAAATAAGAAGTGAGGTTTCTGAATTTAAAAGGCTGATTAATTTTCACTTAAAATGTATTTTTGTTCTTCATATTTGTTTCCATTTCAAATAGATGATATTTATCTTAAATTATGTTTTCTCTTCCCAAAAGATAGTTTCTTCTTTTTTAATAGTACATACTAAGATACACATTATAAATGCATACCAATAAAAGAAATCACACATTTCTTGTTAGGGCACCATTTGTTTATCATGATGAGCTATAGCTATGGATTAGAACCTAAAGGGGACAAATTTTGCTACTTTTGCAATCCCAAAGTTTGCAATCCCAAAGAATCACCTGTTCTATTTTATTGGCAAAATCCTGATACAGTGTGTGGGAAAGCTAGTGTCAGCTGGATGGGCTAGCATCTGTCCTGGTCATGGAGGGATCTCTTATTTGGTAAGTTTCCTCAGGATCCTGAAGTGTGTTCTCCCCAACTTTGATACATGTAATTTTGGGGGAACACATCTATTATATAAATTAAATACTGCTTCAAAGGGTTGAATCCACTAAAGTTACCTTTTCACATGTGCTTTATAATTTCTTATTTGTTTGGAATAAAATGATATTAATCACAATGCAGGTAAATTTGGAAAGACACCATCTCTTTGCATCTTTTTTAGTTTAGTGCATATATGTAAACACTAAAAACAGTACAAAATGAGATCATCAGTTTAAAATTAATCACTATAAATAAAACAAATTATCATTACTCTATTGAAATATGCTATAATAAAAATGGTGGTTTTTATAATAAACTGGCTTAGTGGAAATTCTATGACTCTTGAAGCGGTATCTTAGGTACCTTATTTTAAAAAGTTTCTTATTTAAAATATATGAAATGATTTTTTTACTTCAGAAGCAAAAGTTCATTTTCAAAAAGGTTTTATAGTCAACGTCAAGATTTAGTGGAGGACTGAGTTAAAATTCAGCAGAGATAAGTAAAGAGAATTAGGAATCTGGCAGTATATTTTAAGAGCTATGTAAAATAGGATGGCAACTTGAAATTGATGTATGTGCTGCATTTTCAACAAATAAGAAAAATAAGTATCTTTAAATAAGAAGTGAGGTTTCTGAATTTTAAAGGCTGATTATTTTTCACTTAAAATTTTTTTTGTTCTTCATATTTGTTCTCATTTCAAATAGTTGATATTTATCTTAAATTATGTTTTCTGTTCCCAAAACATGCTATCTTTTTTAATAGTACATACTAAGTAAGATACACATTAATAATTTGTAGCAATCAAAGAAATAACACATTTCTCAATAGGGCAGCAATTGTTTATCATGATGAGCTATAGCTATAGATTATATCCTAAAGGGGACAAGTTATTTGCTACTTAAAGTCTGCATTCCCAAAGAATCAGCTGTACTATCTTATTGGCCAAATCCTGATACAGTGAGTGGGAAAGCTAGTGCCAGCTGGGTGGGCTGGCATCTGTCCTGGTCATGGAGGGGTCTCTTATTTGGTAAGTTTTTCAGGACCCTGAAGTGTATTCTCCCCAACTTTGATTTACATGTAATTTTGGGGGAGCACATCTATTATATAAATTAAGTACTGCTTTAGAAGATTGAATCCAGTTCAGTTGACTTTTCATATGTGGTTCATAATTTCTTATTAGTTTTAAATAAAATGATACTAATCTCAATGCAGGTAAATTTGGAAAGACACCATCTCTGTGCATCTTTTTTAGTTTGATGCATATTTGTAAACAATAAAAACAGTACAATATAAGATCATGGTTTAAAAACTATAAAAACACTATAAATAAAACAAAATGTCATTTCTCTGTTGAAATATGCTATTATAAAAATGGCAGATTTTATAATAAACTGGCTTAGTGGAAATTCTATGAGTCTTGAAGAGGTACCTTAGGTACCTTATTTTAAAAAGTTTCTTATTTAAGAAATATGAAAGGATTTTTTTACTGCAGAAGCAAAACTTCATTTTAAAAAAGATTTAATAATCAACGTCATGCATTTGGTGGGGGACTGAGTTAAATTCACCAAGGATAAGTAAAGAGAATTAGGAATCTGGCAGTATGTTTTCAGAGCTGTATGAAATAGGATGGCAACTTGAAAATTGATGTATATGCTGCATTTTCAACAAATAAGAAAAAAACTTATCTTTAAATGGGAAGTGAGGTTTCTGAATTTAAAAGGCTGATTATTTTTCACTTAAAATTTTTTTGTTCTTCATATTTGTTCCCATTTCAAATAGTTGATATTTATCTTCCATTATGTTTTCTGTCCCAAAACACACTATCTCCTTTTTTAAAGCTACATACTAAGATATGCATTACAAATGTATACCAATAAAAGAAATGGCATACTTCTCAGTAGGGCGGCATTTGTTTATCTGGATGAGCTATAGCTACAGATTAGATCCTTAAGGGGACAAATTATTTGCTACTCAAAGTTTCCATTCTCAAAGAATCAGCTGTACTATCGTATTGGCAAAATCCTGATACACTGTGTGGGAAAGCTAGTGCCAGCTGGGTAGACTGGCATCTGTCCTGGTAATGGAGGGATCTCTTATTTGGTTAAGCCAGGACCCTGAACTGTGTTCTCCCTAACTTGGATTTACATCTAATTTTGGGGGGACACATCTATTATATGAATTAAATGCTGCTTCATAGGGTTGAATGCACTTCAGTTGACTTTTCATATGTGGTTTATAATTTCTTATGTGTTCGGAGTAAAATGATATTAATGACAATGCAGGAAAATTTGGGAAGTCACCATCTCTGTGCATCTTTTTTAGTTGAATGCATATTTGTAAATAATAAGAGCAGTATAAAATAAAATCATGAGTTTACAAACTAATCACTATAAATAAAACAAATTATCATTACTCTATTGAAATATGCTATAATAAAAATGGTGGATTTGATAATAAACTGGCTTAGTGGAAATTCTGTGACCCTTAGAGGTACCTTAGTTACCTTATTTTAAAAAGTTTCTTATTTAAAAAATATGAAAAGATTTTTTACGTCAGAAGCAAAAGTTCGTTTTGAAAAAGCTTTAATAATCAACATCATGCATTTGGTGGGGGACTGAGTTAAAATTCAGCAGAGATAAGTAAAGAGAATTAGGAATCTGGCAGTGTTTTTTAAGAGCTGTATGAAATAGGATGGCAAGTTGAAAATTGATGTATGTGCTGCATTTTCAGTAAACAAGTAAAAAACCTATCTTTAAATAGGAAGTAATGTTTCTGAATTTAAAAGGGTGATTATTTTTCACTTAAAATTTTTTTTGTTCTTCATATTTGTTCCCATTTCAAATAGTTGATATTTATCTTCAATTATGTTTTCTCCTCCCAAAACATACTGTCTTTTTTAATAGTACATACTAAGGTACAAATTACAAATGAATACTAATAAAAGAAATGACACATTTCTCAAGGGCAATATTTGTTTGTCATGATTAGCTATATCTATTGATTAGATCCTAAAGGGGACATATCATTTGCTACTTGAAGTTTGCATTCCCAAAGAATCAGCTGTACTATCATATTGGCAAAATCCTGATACAGTGTGTGGGAAAGCTAGTGCCAGCTGGGTGGGCTGCAAGCTGTCCTGGTCATGGAGGGATCTCTTATTTGGTAAGTTTCCTCAGGAGCCTTAAATGTATTCTCCCCAACTTTGATTTAGATCTAATTTTGGGGGAACACGTCTATTATATAAATTAAATACTGCTTCAAAGCGTTGAATCCACTTCAGTTGACTTTTCATATGTAGTTTATAATTTCTTATTTGTTTTGAATAAAATGATAGTAATCACAATGCAGGTAAATGTGGAAAGACACCATCTCTGTGCATCTTTTTTAGTTTAATGCATATTTCTAAACAAAAAAATACCAAATAATATGAGTTTCAAAACTATACAATCACTATAAATAAAACAAATTATCATTACTGTGTTGAAATATGCTATAATAAAAGTGGTGGATTTGATAATAAACTGGCGTAGTGGAAATTCTATGACTCTTGGATAGGTATATCTTAGGTGCCTTATTTAAAAAGTTCATTACTTAAAAAGTATGAAAGGATTTTTTACTTCAGAAGCAAAAGTTCATTTCAAAAAAGGTTTAATCAACGTCATGCAATTGGTGGGGGACTGAGTTAAAATTCAGCAAGGATAAGTTAATAGTATTGGGAATCTGTCAGTATTTTTTAAGAGCTGTATGAAATAATATGGCAACTTGAAAATTGGTGTATATGCTGCATTTTCCACAAATAAGAAAAAAACCTATCTTTAAGAAGTCAGGTGTCTGAATTTGAAAGACTGATTAATTTTCACTTAAAATGTTTTTTTGTTCTTCATATTTGTTCCCATTTCAAATAGTGGATATTTATTTTCAATTATGTTTTCTCTTCCCAAAACATACTTTTTAAATAGTACATACTAAGATACACATTACAAATGCATACCAATAAAAGAAATGAAACATTTCTCAATGGGGCAACATTTGTTTATCATGATGAGCTATAGCAATAGATTAGATCCTAAAGGGAGCAAATTATTTGCTACTTAATGTTTGTATTCTCAAAGATTCAGCTGTACTATCTTATAGGGAAAATCCTGATACAGTGTGTGCGAAAGCTAGTACCAGCTGGGTGGGCTGTCATCTGTCCTGGTCATGGAGGGATCTCTTATTTGGTAAGTTTCCTCAGGACCCTTAACTATATTTTCCCCAACTTTGATTTACATGTAATTTTGGAGGAACACATCTATTATATAAATTAAGTACTGATTTAGAGGATTGAATCCACTTCAGTTGACTTTTCATATGTGGTTTCTAATTTGTTATTAGTTTTGAATAAAATTATACTAATCACAATGCAGGTAAATTTGGAAAGACACCATATCTGTGCATCTTTTTTAGTTGAATGCATATTGGTAAAAAATTAAAAAAGTACAAAATAAGATCATGAGTTTAAAAACTATACAATCACTATAAATAAAACAAATTATCATTACTCTATGCAAATATGCTATAATAAATATGGTAGATTTGATAATAAACTGGCATAGTGGAAATTCTGTGACTTCAAGAGGTACCTTAGGTACCTTATTTTAAAAAGTTTATTACTTAAATAGTATAAAAGGATTTTTTCACATCGGAAGCAAATGTTCATTGTGAAAAAAGTTTAATAATCAATGAAATGATTTTTGGGGGGACTGAGTTAAAATTCAGCAAGAATAAGTAAAGAGAATTAGGAATCTGGCAGTAGTTTTTGAGAGCTGTATTGAAAAAGGATGGCAAGTTGAAAAATGATGTATATGCAGGATTTTCAACAAATAAGAAAAAAAACCTATCTTTAAGAAGTGAGGTTTCTGAATTTAAAAGGCTGATTATTTTTCACTTAAAATTTTTTTTGTTCTTCATATTTGTTCCCATTTCAAATAGTTGATGTTTATCTTCAATTATGTTTTCCCTTCCCAAAACATACTGTCCTCTTATTTAGTAGTACATACTAAGATAAACATTATAAATGCCTACCAATAAAAGAAATTACACATTTTTCAATAGGGAAGCACTTATTAATCATGATGAGCTATAGCTATAGACTTGATCCTAAATGGGACAAATTATGTGCTACTTAAAGTTTGCATTCCCAAAAAATCAGCAGTACTACCTTATTGGCAAAATCCTGATACAGTTTATGGGAAAGCTAGTGCCAGCTGGGTGGGCTGGCACCTGTCCTGGACATGGAGGGATCTCTTATTTGACAAGTTTCCTCAGGACCCTGAAATGTAATCTCCCTAACCTTGATTTACATCTAATTTTGGGGGAACACGTCTATTATATAAATTAAATGCTGCTACACAGGGTTGAATCCACATCAGTTGACTTTTAATATGTGGTGTATAATTTCTTATTTGTTTGGAATAAAGTGATATTAATCACAATGCAGTTAAATTTGGAAAGACACCATCTCTAAGCATCTTTTTTAGTTTAATGCATATTTGTAAACAATAAAAACAGTACAAAATAAGATCATTAGTTTAAAAACTATACAATCACTAGAAATAATACATTATCATTACTCTATTGAAATATGCTATAATAAAAATTGTGGATTTGATAATATACTGGCATAGTGGAAATTCTGTGACTCTTGAAAGGTACCTTAGATACCTTATTTAAAAAGTTTCTTATTTAAAAAATATGAAAGGATTATTTTACTTCAGAAGCAAGTGTTCATTTTTAAAAAGGTTTAATATTCAACGTCATGATTTTGGTTGGGGACTGAGTTAAAATTCTGCAAGGATAAGTAAAGAGAAGTAGGAATCTGACAGTATTTTTTCAGAGCTGTATGAAATAGCAACTTGAAATTGATGTATATGCTGCATTTTCAACAAATAAGATAAAAACCTATCTTTAAATGGGAAATGAGGTTTTGAATTTAAAAGGGTGATTATTTTTCATTTAAAATTTTTTATTCTTCATATTTGTTCCTATTTAAAATACTTGATATTTATCTTCAATTATGTTTTCTCATCCCATAACATACAGTCTTCTTTTTTAATAGTACATACTGAGATACGCATTAAAAATGCATACCACAAAAGAAATGACACCTTTCTCAATAGGGCGGCATTTGTTTATCATGATGAGCAACAGCTATAGATTAGATCATAAAGGGGACAAATTATTTGCTACTTAAAGTTTGCATTCCCAAAGAATCAGCTGTACTATCTTATTGGCAAAATCCTAGTAGAGTGTGTGGGAAAGCTAGTGCCAGCTGGGTGGGCTGGCATCTCTCCTGGTCATGGAGGTATCTCTTATTTGGTAAGTTTCCTCAGGACCCTAAAATGTATTCTCTCTAACCTTGATTTACATGTAATTTTGGGGGAACATGTCTATTATATAAATTGAGCACAGCTTCAGAGCTTTGAATCTACTTCAGTTGACTTTTCATATGTGGTTTATAATTTCTTATTTGTTCTGAATAAAATGATACTAATCACAATGCAGGTAAATTTGGAAATACAGCATCTCTGTGCAACTTTCTTAGTTCAATGCATATTTGTAAACAATAAAAACAGTACAAAATAAGATCATGAGTTTAAAAACTATACAATCACTATAAATAAAACAAATTATTACTCTATGGAAATATGCTATAGTAAATATGGTAGATTTGATAATAAAGTGGCATAGTGGAAATTCTATGACTCTAGAATAGGTATCTTAGGTACCTTATTTAAAGAATTTTGTTATTTAAAAAATATGAAAAGATTTTTTTACTTCAGAAGCAAAAGTTTATTTTGAAAAAGGTTTAATAATCAACGTCATGATTTGGTAGGGGACTGAGTTAAAATTCAGCAAGGATAAGGAAACAGAATTAGGAATCTGGCAGTATTTTTTAAGAGCTGTATGAAATAGTATGGCAACTTGAAAATTGATGTATATGCTGCATTTTCAGCAAACAAGTAAAAAACCTATCTTTAAATAGGAAATGAGGTTTCTGAATTTAAAAGGGTGATTATTTTTCACTTAAAATTCTTTTTGTTCGTCATATTTGTTCCAATTTCAAATAGTTGATATTTATCTTCAATTATGTTTTCTCTTCCCAAAACATACTGTCTTTTTTAATAGCACATACTAAGATACACTTTACAAATGCATACCAATGAAGGAAATGACACAGTTCTCAATAGGGCAGCATTTGTTGGCTATAGCTATAGATTAGATCATAAAGGGGACAAATTATTTGCTACTTAAAGTTTGCATTCCAAGAATCAGCTGTTCTATGTTATTGGCAAAATCCTGATACAGTGAGTGGGAAAGCTAGTGCCAGCTGGGTGGGCTGGCATCTGTCCTGTTCATAGAGGAATGTCTTATTTGGTAAGTTTCCTCAGGACCCTTAAGTATATTCTCCCCAACTTTGATTTACATGTAATTTGGGGGGAACACATCTATTATATAAATTAAGTACTGCTCTAGAGGATTTAATCCACTTCAGTAGACTTTTCATATGTGGTTTATAATTTTCTTTTTTTTTTTTTTTTTTTTTTATTTTTCATGTCAAGGATCAATGAGGATGTAATTTCTTATTTGTTTTGAATAAAATGATACTAATCACAATTCAGGTAAATTTGGAAAGACACCATCTCGGTGCATCTTTTTTAGTTGAATGCATATTTGTAAACAATAAAAACAGTAGAAAATAAGATCATGAGTTTAAAAAATATACAATCACTAGATATAAAAGAAATCATCATTACTCTGTTGAAATATACTATAACAAAAATTGTAGATTTGACAATAAACTGGCATAGTAGAAATTCTATGACTCTTGAAGAGGTAACTTAGGGACCTTATTTTGAAAAGTTTCTTATTTAAAAAATATGAAAGGATTTTTTTTCTTCAGAAGCAAAAGTTCATTTTAAAAAAGGTTTAATAATCAACGTCATGCATTTGATGGGGCACTGAGTTAAATTCACCAAGGATAAGTACAGAGAATTAGGAATCTGGCAGTATTTTTTAAGACCTGTATGAAATAGGCTGGTAACTTGAAAATTGATGTATATGTTGCATTTTCAACAAATAAGAGAAAAACCTATCTTTAAATGGGAAGTGAGGTTTCTGAATTTAAAAGGGTGATTATATTTCACTTAATATGTTTTTGTTATTCATATTTGTTTCCATTTCAAATAATTGATATTTATCTTCAATTATGTTTTCTCTTCCCAAAACATCCTGTCTTCTTTTTTAATAGTACATACTAAGATATGCATTACAAATGCATAGCAATAAAAAAAATGACACATTTCTCAATAGGGCAGTATTTGTTTATCTTGATCAGCTATAGCTATAGATTAGATCATAAAGGGGACAAATTATTTGCTACTTAAAGTTTGCATTCCCAAGGAATCAGCTGTACTATCTTATTGGCAAAATCCTAATAGAGTGTGTGGGAAAGCTAGTGCCAGCTGGGTGGGCTGGCATCTGTCCTGATCATGGAGGGATCTCTTATTTGGTAAGTTTCCTGAGAACCCTGAAATGTATTCTCCCCAACTTTGATTTACATCTAATTTGGGGGGAACACATCTATTATATAAATTAAATACTGCTTCAAAGGGTTGAATCCACTTCAGTTGACTTTTCATATGTGGTTTATAATTTCTTATTTGTTTTGAATTAAATGATACTAATCACAATGCAGGTAAATTTTGAAAGACACCATGTCTGCGCATCTTTTTTAGTTGATTGCCTATTTGTGAACAATAAAAAAAGTACCAAATAAAATCATGAGTTTAAAAACTATACAATCACTAGAAATAAAACAAATTATCATTAGTCTATTGAAATATGCTATTATAAAAATGGTGGATTTGATAATAAACTTGCATAGTGGATATTCTATGACTCTTAAAGAGGTACCTAGGACCTTATTTTTACAAGTTTATTACTTAAAAATGAGGAAAGGATTTTTTTTACTTCAGAACCAAAAGTTCATTTTAAAAAAGGTTTAATAATCAACATCATGCATTTGGTCAAGGACTGAGTTAAAATTCAGCAAGGATAAGTAAAGAGAATTAGGAATCTGGCAGTATTTTTTAAGATCTGTATAAAATAGGATGGCAACTTGAAAATTGAAGTATATGCTGGATTTTTGACAAATAAGAAAAAAAACCTGTCATTAAAT